GGGGGGGGGGGGGGGGGGGGGGGGGGGGGGGGGGGGGGGGGGGGGGGGGGGGGGGGGGGGGGGGGGGGGGGGGGGGGGGGGGGGGGGGGGGGGGGGGGGGGGGGGGGGGGGGGGGGGGGGGGGGGGAGAGAGAGAGAGAGAGAGAGAATAAAGACCAACAAGTACACCCTGCTCAAGATTGATTGGGGACTTATAGGGGCAGTCAATGTGAATAGCAATAACTGGTACACCAAAAAGAGAGAATCAGGAAGATGATACCTTCATCAAGCTGGAGACCCCAGACAAATTCTTCCATTTCTGTAAAAACAACCTTATTTTCCTGCAACTCTCCTGCTTTTGTGTTTTGATCATCAGTTGTCTGCCCGCTGGTTGTTGTTGTAGCAAGAAGAGCAACTGCTTCGGGTCCGGATGCTGCCTCCTGCTTCTTCAGAGCTAATTTTCTTGCTCTCTCCAGCGACTTATAGAGGTCTTCATCATCATCTTCAATGAGAGTATCTTCATTGTCATCTAATCTGACTGAGCTTTGAACTAATTGTAGAGATCTTGATGCCTCGTCTGCTTTAGCATAGGCTGACTGGTACGCATTTTGTCGCATTTCTGCTTCAGATCTCTCTTGTTCTGTTTTTCGTGCTTGCCTGCTAGAATCATTTCGAGAACCAAGATCTCCAACACCCAATCCAGAGGAGATTGCTTCTGCTTCAAGGGCATCAATATCTAGCTTTTCCTTCTTTCGAAGAGATTTCTTTTTCTTGGGCTTCTTAAATCGAAGCATTTCATCTTGAGTATAATAATCATGCGAGACTTTCACTGATGCATTAAGATCTTCAAAGTGTTTGACTGAAGAAGCTCCCTGTAATCTTTTCCGAAGCTGGCAAAGAGCAAAAAGTTTACAGTAGGAAGCTAAAAAAGAAGCACTACAATATACTGAACCATTACCGATCTTCATGGGTAGAACGTAGAATACAATTACCTCCTCAAGCTTCTTTTCTGCATCATTACTAAAGCGTCCAGTTCCATCTAGAGTTAGGCCCTACAACACAAATTGTCCTCAGAGAATGCTTATGCTCCAAGTTTAGAAATGATTCAAGTAAAGAACATGAATAAGATATACAGCTCCTTATATAAGATTACAGAAACAGAAGCTCAAAAGGAAAGAAGCCCACCTCGTCTGCAGCTGCTGGATCATCATACTGTGGCAGCATCTTCTTCTCACCATCATTTTCATCATTAAACCTATAATAGAAGAATGGATGAGAACTGAGGCAGCCTATAAAACAGTTCATAGAGCACTTAAATAAGTGACTTACTTGTCATCATAAATCCCGGTTTTCTTTTTTGCTGCTTTATAGGCCATGTCTCTCTGCTTCTGTTCTCCAATTTCCACATTCTCAAGTACATCCATATCTGATGCATTAAAATATATAAGTACTTAAGAACTTCGGCCCTGAAATTAAAGGAAAAGAACCAACGTATTTTACCTTCATTAACGTCACCATCAGCTAAGATATTCTGATCTTTAAGGGTTAGGACAACTGCACCACCTCCTAGTACTTTGTCTATGCCATGAAGTACTTTAACTCCAGCTAAATTA